TCATTCCAAAAGAATGTGCTGGTTGGGCGACATAACAGGTTATCGCTACTGTGTATTCCAAAAACATTGTGCGTCTTTCGGTATTAATTTATCTCAAACCCCAGCATTTTAAATTCTCAGAAACGATCATTGCGGGAAAATTGTGTGCTGGGACTAAGATTTTTTAAGGATCGATGCGATAAAACGATAGTTCGAGGAACGATAGAAGCGGGAAAATGTAACATTATTTTATATGGGATGTATTCGGGACCGAACAAAACGGACGATGCATCCGGGAAAACGATAGTTCCGGGAACGATGGATAGAGGTTTCACTGTATTCACATAAGAAATCTTTAGTCCTCTACATAATACAACTGTATGTCTAGATATGTCATGGGTATGTGATGGAACATCACAATGTCCAGACAACTATGATGAGAGCCAGTGCTGTGAGTTCCAGTGCTTGACTTCTGGGGTGTGTATTCCACACTCTGCTGTGTGCGATGGCTACGAGAACTGTGCAGATGGTAGTGACGAGGCACCTTTAGAATGTGCAGGAGGTATGTATTAAACATAATCTTCAAACAATACATGTTCTGAAAGTACTCAGGAAAATATTGGGATGTAAGAAGGCTGATATAAATGAGGAAGAGTGTTGTTATGTAATGAGAAACTTTATTGTTCATAAAGTCACTTTCTTGTCTTAATGAATTAGGTAACCTAATGGCTATACCTGTCTTAATATTCTCTTTCCAATGTCTCCTTGGCCTTTACTCTCTGTCATATAGATTTATAATTCCATGCTGTCTGTCTTTAGCCTGTCTACATGGTGTGACAACTTTTTTTAAATGCTGTATAGTTCATTTCAGTTTGGTTCATATTTTCCATTATAAAGCCAGCACCTTAAAACTGACTTTATCAGTTTTCATAAAAATGGTTTGTTATACAAAAAATTTATGCATGACATAAAACATAAACTCCATTATCTCCTTGTAGACTGTTTCCAAGATGTGATCAGTCACTCTGTCCAAACTTTCATACCAGTATCTGAAATATTTTGAAAAGAAACAGCCTGCAATTGCTGCCATTTAAATCTAGCTACAAGAACAGGCAAGATGCCAGGGGCCTTCAAGGGGTTGTTATCTTTTATTTTAAACATTTTTCCATAAGGAATACATTTAACAGTATACAATAGAAAATAATTTCTGACTCTGTGAAGTACAGATAAACAGTGTGATTACCTTCATAGCAGCAGGTATGTTCTGCATCAAGGCCATTGACAAATTCAGGTTAGCAAGGAATGCGTTTGGAGAACAGTACTGTTTTGGCATACAGCATTACACTCATATTTATGAAACAGCCTGGCAAATCATATGTAGGCTGACAGTTTGCCTGCCTGTCGGTGAGTTTCTTACAATAACTGCATAAAAATTCCTATGAATAATTGAATTCTTTATTGTGAATTGTTTCAGGAGCCAATCATCCTCGTGTAGATGTTATATCGTATGGTGATTCAAACAAGTCCACATATGTAGTGAGTGTGTTGGTAATTCTAGCATCTGTTGTTGTGTTTGGTTTAATTGGATTCTACTGCCGTCGTCGCGTTGCAGGTGCCAACAACATTACCTTAAACAATGATCTTGATGATTCAGCTGGTGATCCTCTGTCACCAAAACCATCACATGGTGTTCCTAAGCCCATTTGCCCAGTTGCTGAAATCCAAAAGAATGGTAGATTAGATAAGGGCAATAAGAAATCTGGCAATGATACTGTTCGCATGTCAATGCTTAATGGTAGCACAACATCCAACAGTTATGATAGGAGTCATATTACTGGTGCTTCGAGTTCTACTACAGAAGGAGGTGGACCAAATGGTGCTCCATTGCTTGTATCATCATCATCGTTGCTATGCTACCCACGTGAGACTTTGAACCCACCACCAAGTCCTGCAACCACTGCTGATTCTAACAGAAAACTACACCATAACTACAATGAAGACTACTGCTGTTCTTCATCTGGTGCATCAAGATATCGTCCCTATAGACATTATCGAGCCATCAATCAACCACCACCTCCTACCCCTTGCAGCACAGATGTATGTGATGAGTCTGATTCAAATTACCCTTTGCCTTTGAGAGGGAGGCAGCGATATTATGCTGCACCAGGTTCTGAGTATGACTCAGACCCTTTTCCTCCTCCTCCAACTCCAAGGTCACATTATCATAGTGATGGAGGAGGAGGCTTGCCTTCATCTTGTCCACCGTCCCCCTCTTCTACAGCAGGGCGGTCATCAACATACTTCAATCCGCTTCCTCCGCCTCCGTCACCGGACCCATCTCCTGGCAGTCGCTGTGATTGCTGACAGTAAAACAGGGTCCGATTTGGTTGCATGACTGTCAGTACTGCAGTGTTTTATTATCACATGTCGGACCCTGCGTTCATGCTGTCTTATTGAATTACTCAGAAAATTTAATATTACACATAAGTACGTAATGCTTGAGAGGACTTTCAAATTAATAACATTTGTCAGTTTGCAGTGATTCTAAACACTATTTTCACATAATGGAATTGACCTAGAGATAAAACACTAAATATAATAATTATTATACTTTGATAAAATGTGTAAGTAAGCACATAAGTGCATTTGGCCTCACTTAACACACATTTAAAGGTGAGTAACAGGGATGTAGTTTTAGTGCCATGATGATTGTCTCTGAAGTTTATCCAGGGGTTATAATGTTTATTAGTATATTTAATTACACATTTTTACCTGTATAGTTTATATAATGTTAAGTAGAAGGATAATTCTGTTATGTGGATGGAAGTGACCTATTTTAAAGCTTTATCACAGCATGTAACTTGAGTGGCAAAAGAAACCACAAAAAAAACCAGTCAAAATAGTTGAACTTTTTACCAAGAATCATTCTTGTGGGCCTTTCAGATATGATGCAAGAGTGCTAACGACTCGGCTAACATTTTCTGAGTTTAGTATAGATTGTTGCTTTTGTGGCGACAGCATTGTGATGTCTAGATGTCTGGTGAGTTTGTTTAGGAACTGTACTTGTGGCCTGAGCACTGTACTCACCCACCACAAGTTAATTGCACAACCACATTTTGAAACCACATTCACACAAAACCTGTCACTGCACTTTTGTTTTAAGTCTTTGGAATGTACTGTACTAACCACAGACCGCACACTCCATGGGGTTATACATGACCCACAGTAGTGAGGCCACTGTGCTCAGTAAGCAGAACTGTCATCTATAAAAAGTGTCTGACATGAATATTTCCATATCTTCAGAGGTAACAGCACATAAAGTTTTATATCTCTTTGTATTAAATTTTTATACCAGTTTCAACATCATCAGTTCTACGTTAGGTACTAATGATGCAGTAGTACATAATTGAGTCAAGTCCACTCAGTTTAATTAACTTCACTTAAACAGTTGATTTGTACATTAATTTTGGTGTTGCCTGACTGTTACTCACCTTTGTTTGAAACCTGTACATATCAACCTCATGTGCCTGTTTTGGAGCAAGCTAAAATGTGAGATTTGTGTTGTTGGGAGTTCAAAAATGCTGGCACTTAATAGTTGGACATTGGATATTGACAGTGTAACAAATTCAGCAATGTCCCATAATTTTGGCTTGATTTTCTTTCTTTTTTAATGCCTTTATTTATAAATTTGTAAGAAAAAATCCTTCCATGTGAAATTTCCACTAGAACTATCAGTAAAGGAGAAAGTTAAAAGATGGCTATCTTCTGGGTAATAGCGCCATGTAGTCTGGTAGAAGTTTACCAGTGTTTCTGAGACCCTGGCTGCCTTCAGCATGAGTGATGAGCACTTATTGCCCTGATGATTAAGTTAGCAAGTACATCTGAAACGTTGGCTAGGCTACACAGCACTACAATTCAGAAGACAGCCGTCTTTGAACTCATTGCTGTAAGAACCTCAAATCCTGCTGAGACATTTTAAGTTGCTCTGTGCTTAAGCCTTACTCCATGTTGGGATATAGAGTAATGGAGCTAGAGCCACACATCCTGTATCTTGGAACTAGGTGTAAGTAAGTGATCAACTTCATTCTTCATATCCTTTACCCTAGAAAAGAACACATGGTACCCAGTGATGGGAGTCCAGGTGAACCTTGAAGCCAGTGTAGACACTTTTTACTTTACTGTCTGACTCATGGCTTACAGTGCCCATACATCCAAAAGATTTGGTTAAATAGGGTTGCCAAAATATAATTGAAGGACCAAGGGTTTGATCCCCAACAGGGGCAGAGGATTTTACCTTTAGCCTCTGCATCCATACTGACTGTGGAGCCTACCCAGCCTATCTAATGATTACCGGGGTTCTTTCACAGAGGTAAAGCACGGCCAGGGTGTGATGCTGACCACTCACCCCTATCTAGTGCTGAAGTTTAGAATAAGTAGGAGTTATAACTCCTCTCCCCCACAAGCGCCTACATGGCGTAAAGCAGGGCAGCTTTTCTTTTTAGGTTTTAATTGAAGAGTTTCTATTTGCTGACACTGTCAGACAACAGTGATGTTCTGGAAAAAATGTGCTAGTGTTGCGGATGGGAATTGTTCCATAGAATCGAAAGGTTTAAATCTAGGACTAAGGAATGTATAGTAGTTGTACTGTATGAGCTTGTGGATTAATGTCTCTGGGGCTAGCATAGCAAATTACCATATTATGATCTTATTTTTCAACCCCTGACAACACCCATAAAGCATTTATGTAGTGTTAACAATTTTATTGCCATTTTAGATGTAAATAAAACTGTATTAGAAGCCAGACGGGGCGTGATGCTGACCACTCACCCCCATCTAGTGCCAAGGTCAAGGAAGAGAGGAGCTATACTTCCACTCCCCCCAAACGCCTACATGGCGTATAGTGGGACAAACTTACTTTACTTATTAGAAGCCAGTCAGTGCAAGCCATTAAATTTATTACAGAAGAAATGAAACGTTTTACTAATTTAGTCATTTGAAATTAGCATCAATGTACAAAAAATGTTTTATGAAAAATGTTGGTTAATAATAATTTTTATTGACATAAAATAGTTTTGGTAACATAAAAGTTTGATATACTCCACAAGCTGAATCCCAGCCTTCACTGACTGGCTTCTAAACCGTCCATTTGTGACACCAAGCTACAAGTTAAGATTACATTCTTAGCTGTGGTGTTTTTGGGTCCAAAGGCCCTCTGTATATGCCAAGTTATGTGTGTTCAGGAAGGTTCAGAGATCTTGAAAATGGGTTGCGATGATTTTTCCTGAAGTTATTTCATTGAAATGGAAAGGTAGTATCCTTTAAATTTCTTGCCTCAGCTGTGTATATTTTTGTGGTATAAATATAACCTGATTTAGCAGTGGACACAGTATTCTCATTAACACTTCATATCTTCTTGTAATCTTCTCAGGATTATATATCCTGTATTTATAGCCAACCTTTCTGTGGGATCATTGCTGCATCTAATGAAATTTATTCTTTAGGGTTATCTGCTGACATGAATTTCTGCAGCAAATATTCATAAACAAACTGTTTTGAGTTTTGTTTGTTAGAACCCGACTTGCCAAGTAGTGCCATATTGGCTCCTGCTCATACTATGGGAGAAAATAGTTGTGGAAATCATGATGCCAATTGACCTGTAACCTCTTAAATTGTGTTTTGTAACATGGTTTATCTGGATCATCAGTCCTAAATTTTATTTAATTTCCGCTTGTGTAATATTGGACCACATGCATAATTTCTGTCATGCATTTTGCGTGTAATAAATATTCGTCTGTTCAGTAAATGATTACTACCTTATTGCTCTCACCACTTCAACAGTCACAGGTCTGTTTTGTACACCAAATTCACATACATCAAAGCAGCTGGTAAAATTATAGTTTTGTATATTTTAATTGCTAGGCTTTAGGTATGTGGCAGAAAGATGATAAATTTTGTACTGGATGGTAGCAAGTGTTCCCAAATTTTAATCTTGTTTCAGTTTTCAGAATGTAATATTGGTTTGTTACTGTTGTTCCAAAATACTGAACTTGGCCTCATTTTTAAAGAATGTATTAACTACCTTTATGTTACAACTGTGTCATGCTTTCTTGTTACGAGACATAAATAAGTACTTTGACCTGCTTATAATTCAGACAAAATGTCTTGTCTTCTGTTACTTCATACTTATGAAACTTTTGAAAGAAAATTAAGTTCACTGCTGAATCAGTGTTTGGTATTGTTTTGATGTGTGTTACTTGGAAGCGTAAATAGTCTGTCTCAAGCTGTTATTACCTCTGAGGTGATAAGTGAACCATGTCAGTACCCATGTGGGTCTGGATGATACAGCATAAGTAAACATAAACATGAGCTGTCAGCAACATATGATGTAGATATCACAAAGTTGTGCATGATCCATCAGTATAATGTTACAGTATTTTAAATATATTTAAATAATGCTAAAATCTGGTTTGTAAAAATTTAAAAAATATGGAACCTTTTGTGCTTTTTTCATAGATCACTGAACCTTAAAATCTGTCTTGATATTTTAGAAAGGTAATTCAGCGAAATAAATTATGGTGTTTCATGTGGCTTAGTATTTGTGCAGAGTGGGAACCAGGCTTTGATTTCCACCTAGGGCACTAATATTTTGTGCTGGTCTGGTATGAATGTTGCTGTTCTAATGTTTTATGGAAGCTGATTAGTTGTTGTTATGCTGGAAGCTTTGTCCTCTTTCCTCTAAGGGAATGTGTAGGTATGTTTGCTGGTAGGTTGAATTTGAAGAGTGTAGCATGGTAATGCTATTGTGCATAAAATTGTTTGTTCTTTTATGCAAGGCAAAATTATGCGTGACCAAACAACAGTAACCAGTTACATTTATTGGTCTGAACAGGTAGTAAATCACTGGCTTCAGTTCTTTCTTCTAAAATGAAAAAAATATGAAACTCATTTCTTTGACCTTCATTCTTTTACAAAGTATTTGAATTATGCTGATTAGAGTAGCTCTCTCTAATTTACCCCTCCAGTTAGGTTTTCCACGCTCAGAACAGAATCAGTTTCCAAAATCATTTTTTGTATAAAAACCAAGGCAATGGTATAATGTCCAAAAAAACTTTCTATGATACATCTTCAGCTGATACATTCAGAAAGATTTGTTTTTATTTGTCATAGTGAAACAGCTCATATTTATTATTTATGCATCTGTGGAAGAATTATAGAAATATCATGTAGAAGTTTTTAAAAATAATTATTCTGATGCCGAAGTGAGAACAAAATTCCAGGCCATAGCACAACAGAAAATATCTTCATAGTGTAGAAGTAATGTTTCCTTTGTCAAAGCAGCTATAAGTCAATATAAAATAATAGGACAGCAACAAAACTGTTTTTAAAGCCTTATTCACCATACAGGATTATATGGTGTATACAAATAATTATTTGAACTGACAGGTTTACTGGATATTCATTTGTATATTCAGTGTATATATATAAATATATGTGTTTAATAGTAAGTGTATTTGTGTTTGAATGTTGATGTGTATAGTAATGTGGTATGTATTGTTACATTCTCTTGCTCGATGATTGCACATAATCTTCCTGAATTATTTTTTGTTAAAATTGTTAATTTACTTTTGTGAAGACATATGTTCTTGATTTCTGTATAAGCTGATACAACCATGTTTCAGGGTTAGAATGTAAGCATATGGATGTGCTACATTAGAGTATAGTTTGTCTGTTGTAAGTAGAATGCTACAATGGATATCTTAAGAATAAGGGACTTCCTGATTGGGATGTAGAACAGTGATTTTGAGAGTACATTGGAGTTATACAAATGAGGCAACTTCTGTACAGGACATTGCTCTACCACATATATATTTTTTCACAGACTGTGCACATTTGCATTGAGTGTTTTGTTTAAAATTAAAATTGACTGATTTTGCAAAGGGGTGATCTGATAAATTTTAAAATATGATGTTCAATGTGGAGTTGCCATAAGCCTGTTATCTAGAAATATTTGATTGATTATTTTTATGCCTTGATTTTCAGCTTTGATTTGGGTTTTGTCAGTATTTTTTGGAGGTCAGAAGGGTTCCCTCAGACTGAGAAGCTTCAGAGACAGTGTAAAGGGAGGCTGTCTCTCATTATATTTCTTGCAACAGGTGAAGCAATTTAAATACTAAAATTCATTCCCCGATTGGAAAACTGAAGTTAAGGCTACAGTGGATTATACTGTAGTACCTAATGTTTCCTATTTATAAAATGCATATTTTTGTTAGTCTTCCTATTTTATCCTTAGGTGATCTCTTAATTAAAGTACAGGCTGCATTGAAATAATAACTATTTATGTTCAGGATTCTTGTGCTACTGTGAAAATAGTAAGCTTTGCAGGAATATGTAAATGTTGCTTGTTGGAAAGAATATAATGATTCTTATTGTTGGTAGGTTCAAGGTGTAAGTCATACACTTTCATGAATAAAATAGTGTTGCAGTCACTTGTTCATTTTTTGTTTTAACTATTTTATTACCAGCCTGTTAAGGTCAATTTCATTAAAGTTTTTTTGAATATGTTTGAATTATTATTTAAACTTAATTTCTTGGATTTTCAGGAATGAAACATTTAAATTCCTTCCACAGTATCAAATTTTTTCCCCACTTTTGTTAGTATAACGGTTAAGTAAGTTGTTGGAGCAAATCAGATTTTGTACCTGCCCAAATAGCAATATTTTATAGTGTTTTCATTTGTTTTCTCAACTTGTTTCATAATGCACAAGTTTGTGTTCTTAAAATTTGCTTTATAATTAGGACATTCTATTTTCAAGTTGCACATCTGGCAGCAACGAAAATAATACTAAAATAATACAACCACTTCTGTGTTCTTGGTGCTGCAAATGGGTTTTAGGGCATAGGGCATCTGGAATGTTTTGTATTCCTCTCCCATTGAGAGATCTATCCAGATGGGATGTTTAAAATAATGTACATGTAATTTTACTGGGAGATAAATATAACTGAAACTATGATATTGTTTTAACCTTTTCACTGTTAAATAATTCCATACTGCAGTCTGTCTGTTGGAAAGTTAATAGTTCATCTCGTCAACAAATTCCATACATTTATGGAACCTGAATGTTCATTGCTGTTTACAAAAACTGTAATAGCACAATATCCTTTTCTGTATATCTCCCAAGTGGCCTATTCCCTTCAGATTTTGTGACCAAAATTTTATAGGATTTTGCATTTTCCCCATGAGCTGCCCATCTTACCATCTTTAATCATCCTAACACTAATTGATGATGAGTACAAATTTTGCAGCTTATTGTGTGTCTCCATCCTTCTGTTGCATACTCTTTGTTAGGTTCAGTTATTCCTCTCAGAATTTTATTCTGAAAGAACTTTAAAGTAAGAAAGCAAATTTCATACCCATATAAAGCACCAATAAAATCAGTGAAGAAAAAATATTAGTTGGCTGTAGCTTGGCCAATATTCATCAGATTGTCAGAATTTTGACATAAATGCAGTATTTCATACCAGCACACACGCGCACACATATATATGTGTCTTTTCTACCTCTACATACATTATTTACATGTAAACAAACTTTGTTTTTTATTACGGTTAAAGTTTAACATTCAGATTGTATTTTAAATTCCAATTTCTTAGCCTTTTTCTGGTTCATTTCTAGAAACTAAAGAATAGCTTTAAAAAACACTTTGTACTTGTGAAACAGTTCATTCACAGTGACCAGCATGCTTTTTTATGCCAGAAGTGTTCCAACTATGACAGTGGAAAGGTTATTGTTTTGTGTGTATATAATTGTTTCTTATATCGTTTATGAACCAGCATCATGTTACTGTATAACGGATAATTCCCTTGAATCTGAGCATGTGTCGGAAATATATGTTAAAATAACATGTAAATTGTTACGTAATATAATTTTTATATTGACAGTGTAGAATGTTCAATTGTTATTACTCTTCACACTTATTTAACAAAAGTGCCTGTGCAAATATGTATGCCAGTTTTACAAGTTATATTAAACTCACTCAGGTTAAGCATCACATCGCTTTTTGTTTTTAAAGATGTGTGAATATTTTTTAACATTTCAGAAGCTGTAACTTAATATTATGTTCCTTTGACAAGGTATCTGTTGTGAATTTGTTTCTTAGTGCCATAATGTGTACACATAATTTCATTTTTATAATATTACAGTGTTTGTTACATAAGTAATTGATCTTTCTTTTCAAGTTACTGGAAATAGTTTGTGTGCAATGCAGCTGTTTGTCCTCATTGCACATGTAAATGATATTAATTAAAGATTTGTACACAGAGTGTATGTGTTGCTTTCCTAAACTTCTAATTGGCCCTTTCTCAATACTTCATTATTTCCAGTATCTCCTAACTTGAAGATTTCTGTCTTCTGGGTTGTTGCGCTGTGTAGTCTGGTCGATGTGAATCAAAATTTCAGAGGTCATACCGCCTCGTCATCAGGGCGGTGAGTATGAAGTTTTCTGTCTTCTGGGTTGTTGTGCTGTATAGTCTGGTCGATGTTAACCAACGTTTCAGAGGTCATACTGCTACTAGACTACACAGCGCAACAACCCAGAAGACGGAAATCTTCATACTCACCGCTGTGAAAACCTCAAATCGTACATCTCCTAACTTATTGTTTATAATTATGTCAACTTAACTAAAAGGTACAACTTTGTTTATATTAAATGCCTTTGTCTGAAATCTGATTACCTATATTAGGTTCTAGCCATGTGGACCAAATGATTCACACAAAGAAATGTTGCTTTATTTTGTAGTTTCCATTTAAGTTAGGAAGATGATAAGGGTTCACAAAGCCCTTTGTTTCCCTCATCACACTTTTTGTGCAGACCACTAAAGTTTTTTAGTAAAATTATGGCAACCAAGTTCATTTATCTGCTGACCCTACATTTGTACAGCTTGTAGAATGCTGTAGTAAAAATCGATATCAAAATAGTGATTGTGAAATGCTTGAGGATGGACCAATACTAAGCTTTTGTAAAAAAAAATTATGCAATTGTGAATAATCATCAGTGGCTAAAGACTATACCTGCAGATTCCAAACTAGAAGTTGGGTTGGCACTCTTCGGCTTTGTACCAAATGAGGTATGTTGGTCATAGCAGATAATAAATATAATGGCAGAGTGATTCTAGCATTGTGCTCTCATTCATTTGCCGTAATTAATGGTTTAACAAGCTATATGCACACATGAAACACAGAGGAATGAGTAAGTTAAATCAGGAAGTTTATTTGTGTAATATAATCCACAACAGACAATGATGATTTTACAGTACAGTACCCCTACCTTGTAATCATTAACAAAGACTAGGCCTTTTGACCTGTTCAATAACAACTCTGTATTGATCCTTCCATGTTTCAAGGGAATAACCTCATTCTCTGGTTTGTAATCCAGCAACTTATCTGGAGACATTTTGAATATGTGTTGAAAATATTTTGTTGTTACTCCTTCATGTTTTCATTTACAGTTTATATACGTATTAACCTCGTATCTTATCCTTCATTATTATTATAAAACGTGGACTTCCACTGGTCTCCAGAAGCAACTCTGCTGCTTCACTTCGTTTATACTGTTGATTTTATGTCCACCTTTCACCATCATACAAGAGAAATGACACTGCCAGTATCTTGTAGAACTTGTGTAGACCAGAGATCAATTCTCACAATATTGTAGAAGGATGGATGATATTTTCCTACCATAGTTTGAAATCTGCTGTACCAGTCCTCGTGCAAGATGTTGGTTCCGAGCTCTTGCTGGATCACAGCTAAATACTGGTACCATTCACATGGACATCTTGCAACAACTGCTTGCCTTCTGCCTTGTCCTGATCTCCCTCTCACACAATATTTTCCAAAATATTTTGTTCATCAGGAAGAACATCCAACAAAGCAAATAACTGAAGTACATCTTCAATGGAATCAAAAACTGATGCAGAGATTTAGATTTCTTGGTTGACAGGATCTGCACATAAAACCTATTGATGCCATGTCCAAGGTGGGGGAAGAAAAAACAATGCCTTGTTGACAGGAGGGATAAGGATTTGACAAGCATTTACGAAACCCAGTTTATATGTTACATTACTGCTATAGTTGGGGCTTTAGTTTTGACGTAAATACGCCTATACGGAAGGGTCATTCGGCAAAAAAGCGTTAGGAAGATGTGTAAGATCCATACCAACAATGTGTAAATTCTTATGTCATCTGTTTATTCGGCATTATTGTGTTTCATTACTGCCGTCAATAATCCGCTTTCGTTATTGCGGAAAGAGCTGAGCTGTGAATCGCTTGTAGAAGAAGTGCGTCGTAGAGTAGATAATATTGAGCTGTTAAAACGTTTTAGAATATCACAATTACTTATCTTATATAAGAATTATTAAAAAATCTGTGATACTGCCCTCTGCTCTCTCCATTTTAGTTTTGATTAAATTGTACATTGCGGGTGGACATCGTGGTCTCTTCCAATTGAACAAAATTTGAGGTAAGGGATTCTTATTTATTTTTATTGTACATCACATTTAATGTTTTCATGTGCATTTGTGAACTCGTGTAAGAGAATTAGGCTTGTCTTCTTTTGAAGTAAATATGTCTCTAAGGAAGGGTCATTCGGCAAAAACAGCGTTAGTTACGAAGATGTGTAAGATCCAGCGCCGAGTCACCTTTAAACGTTCATTCCTCGGGAATGGTAAACGTAAGGGTAATGTAACCTATATGTAAAATGATCAGTAAATAAGGACCTTTAAGAATCTGTAATGTATTTCATTGTAATTTTAATGAACCAATGTGTACAATTTTCAATGCATCTGGCGCGTTAAGCGTTAACCGTAAGAGATGGATCTGGACATATTGCGTACGAGATACGTATTACCTCTTGAGGTTTCCATATCTGTTTTCAGATTTTACATAACACAAATGGTTTAGGTTCTACAAACATTTATTTATACAAATAAATGCGCATCGCACTTCACGCTACTGCTGCGTTTGCGTATTTACGTCTGATTCTCCGGAACCGTGGTTCCACTGTCAACTTTTTCATTAGGTTACAGATGTGCCCCAAGGGAGTGAGGTCAGTATGTGGCCGTTCGACCACTGGGAGCAAACTCTCGTTTGGAGAGTTGGTGGTGGTTATTCAATTCGTGTTCTCATAAAGTAAGGTAAAAGCTGCCCCACTATACGTCACGTAGGCGCTTGGGGGGAAAAGTACTATAGCTCATTCATAACCTTGGCTCTAGGTGGGGGTGGGTGGTTAGCGTCACACACCGGCCTTCTTTATCTCTTGGAAAGGACCTCAATACTCATTGGATAGGAGTCTGGGTGAACCCTAGAGCCGGTCTGGACGCAGAGGAAAGAAAATCCTTTGTCCCCGGTCGTACAGTTCGTAGCCAATTCCTATACTGACTGAGCAACACCGGCGAAACTCTCTTTTTTTACGTTACATTAGAAAAGAGAAGAATTTACGATTTTATAAAAAGATAAAAACTGAAATATAAAGGCAAACTGTTAAGTTGTTAGTCTTCAGTGGATTATAATTAGACAGTATTTCCAACATTCCAACTAAATTTGTATATTGCATGCCGAAATATCGGGATGAGAATCTCACACAAACAATACCTACATATGAATGTCATATCCTAAAACCTGTAACCTTTTCTGTATTCTCCCTTGTGAATTTAAATAGGTAGCAGTGGCACCAACGGAATGAAAAGTAATCCCGGTGCTAGTGATATTTTATGTGGAACAGTTGGTAGGTGTTTCATGTTTCAAATAATATAATTCTTTGAACGTATTTTCGAAATGTACAGATAGTAATTGTTTCTTCATATTTTATATTATAGTGAATGTGACTTTTACCTGAGTGTCAATACTAGTAAGTGTAAAATGCCTTTACATTTTGAACTTTTCCTTCAACATTTTAGGTTAGTTTTTTGGTTAGTTACATGAAGTAGTTGCCAGGAGGTTGCTAAAATAATATAAGTTGATGTACACATTTTAAATTAGCATTGTAATCCCAAGATTTCGTTTACGAAAGATAAGGTACATCGAGTGAGTAATCGGACTTTGTAAGTATATTAATAATATTTGTATCAGAAGTCTTGTAATATATATCATCTGAATCTTTCACGGCGACTAAGTATAATGAATTCTTCTCGGGCTACCAGCCGTGTAAGTTGGTTTAATTGACTACTACAGTACCCTGAGGCCGAGGATAGCCTTGTAATTGTTGGTAGAGTAACATGGAGTAACCAGTATGAAATAAATGTAGTGTTACTTTTGTGAATAGTACCTTACTTTGAAGGCATACAAATTACGGGGATAAAGTCCCTCCATATTCTCAGGTAAGTACATAACAGTAAATGTAGTTATAACTTCGCCTTTAGTTGCTTTTATCTCGTGGAAAACGTTCATTGTGCCCATTTGAAAGGAATTTGGATCAGTCTTTCCTTCCATTAAATTTTAAGCTAATTAGACAGTTTGTATGGAAGGTAACACTGTTTGACATAACCATTATAACATACTTAAAAGCGTGTTATTTTTATTATTGACATGGGCTGTATATTAACTTCTGTAGTGAGAGCATGATTCAGTATAGTGCCCCAAATTGCTATTCAGTTTTTAGATATACAATTGTGATAATGTTATTACTGTCACAGTGCAAACAGTAATATGGTGAATGTGAAAAGTAGTTAATTTTTAACAGTATGACTGTAACTGATATGTTATATACCCAGACAGATGATGTTCAGTGTGCAGGAGATTGTAAACATGTCTACAGTTCTTGTATGAAATGTTGCTTCTATAATAGAGAGTACCAATGTAATGACAGTATATTCTTAAATGCTGTGTTTATAAAGAAGCTGAAGCTGACATGTATTGCATTGAATCTTATTTCATAGTTATTTGCTTGGTTTTATATAAAGAGGGTCTGTGTGTTTGGTAAATTGTGATTGTTTTGAGGTTAGAACCTATGCATAAAGTGTTTGGTTGCTGATGGTTAGATATGATTAGAACAGTTTATGTTCGGTCTAGCAAAATTGAAGAATATGTGAATTCAGATAAACAATTATGGCATACTTTAGAACCATTATCTCTTGTAAGTGCATCCATGTGTGGTGATGTGATATTTATCTTCTGGATGGGCATGAGTAGATTAGAGAGGAAGTGGGGTTACTAGGTATGGGAAACAAGATTATTCATGACCCTGATGATGGAGGCAACATGACCTCTGAAACATTGGTGGAAATCTACCAGACTATAAGGTGAGACTCACCAGAAGACTGAAATCTTCAGACTCACTGCTGTGAAAACCTCAAATCCTACAAGATTATTAGGTTTCCTCGCAGGTCACTGAAACATAAGTTCATTTATTGTTTATAGAAATCTTCAAGCATTCATGGTATTTTGTAGCTAACCTTGTTCCCATTCATGAATGATGACAAAATGTTGTTTGTTAACATGCAGATGTCTCAGATAACCTGGCCATCTCCTTATGAAGGTGAACAGTGGCCTGCTTTTGATGTTTATATTTCCAGGCCACCTGGTAGAGAATTCTGCACTGTAACCAGTGGATGCATGGTTAGCAAGGAAGCAAATCAATCAAAGCATGGGACTTTCTCACTGCTTCATGGCCCAGATAAATATTAGTGCTGTGCTGTATTTATTTACTTCTTCTTGAAGTTTAAGATAACCTAATTATCCAAAACAGTTGTAAAACAGTCCACCAGAGCACAGTGACATCATTCAGGAGTGGAAACAAGGAAAGTTCAATATTTTTTCATAACCCAAATGCAAATAAGTATTTTTTTTTGTGTTGTAGGAACTGAATCATAATGAATGAAGAGACTCTTCCTCCATCACCCAACTGGTATCTAAGCAATGTACTTGCTTGTGCAGCAGATGGTACAATTGCTTATGGTTCTAGAAGCAATATTGTAATTGCAAGACATTTACCTGGAAACTCAGGAATTCGTACACCTCAGATATCTATCATCCCAAATGCTCATAAGGAACGGGTCACTGTTATCGCTTTCTCTACGAGCAGAGAGAGTAGTGACACTTACTGGAATTGCCTAGCATCTGCGGGTGATGACTCTGTAATAAGAGTTTGGAGTTTGGAGACACTGTCACCACTACTAGCACACAGTTCCCATGTGGTATATTAAGCTTTATTATGCCATTATTAAACATTTAATTCAAATCACCATACAGGATCTTTTTTGAGCAGTTGTTTAGATGATCAAGAAATTTCCTGTTGATGGTGTTTGTCTGGGTTTTGGCTCCATGTGGACTGGCCAGTAAAATTCAGAACCCAAAAGAACACCATCAACATTGTCACTGACATGAAAACCAAGAATCTTACAAGAAATTTTCTGTTGTTATGAAACCCAGATGTTCATTATCATGTTTGCAAACAACTGCTGTTGGACCCAAATCTGACTTAGTTAAATCCACTTTTACTTTGTCTGTAACATGCATTGTAATAATACATAGAAACAGGGATTAGAAAATTGGATAAATGTAGGTGTAAGTCAGAAGGTATCATTATATATATAAATTTCTTCTTGTAGTGGACAGGTAATTCTGGGTGGAAGGAAATCCTACAGACTTTTTCCTGCATAATAGATACTGTTTTGAGGCTAACTCATTTCATACAGTAAATTAGATTCTTCCAAGCAATAATGGTACATTGTTTGTTTCTTTACAGGAAGGTTCAAAGGTTTGTTGTATGGATTGGTCAAAGTTTGATCCCAGCCTAGTTGTATCAGCAGATGAACCTGGCAGGATTGTGTGTTGGGATTTGTTTAGCAACACGACTCAGCAGTATAAGTTTGGCAAATTGGTTCCCACTTGCCTTGCTTGCTGCCCTCATAGACGAGACCTTATTGCTATGGGCACTCGCTCTGGACTTGTTTGCACAGTCAGTTTGAAAGGTTATATACACATTTTTATGGTATATATTTTCTTTTGTATGGTCATGAAACATGTTTTTTTTTTGTTTTTGTTTTTTTTTACACACCTGGCTCTATGATAATGACATGTTACAACAGTCTTGTTTCCAAAGGAAGGTATACTTCATGTTATAGTGGGCTGGTTGGCCAATATTTTAGGAAATCTTAAGGCCCAGAACTTTATACAGATCAGTGCCAGGCTGCTGTTTAGTCATGAAAACAGAGACAGCAAGACTGGAAAGCCATCCCATATAAATTACAAATATTTGAAAGCAGTGCTCAGGAAAATATTTGGATCTAAGAGGGTTGAAGTTAGTGTACATATTGGGATATTGCATGATGAGCTTTATGGTTTATGCAGGTCAGTAGTAAAATGAAGGGTATTATGTTGGTGTGACGTGTAGGTTGAGAAATGTATAGAAGAAATGAGAAATGTTGTTGGGAAACCTTTTAAATATAGTTTAAGCTTTCATCAGTTTTGTCATTGAACATGTTTCTATCTGCCTGTTTGTGGTGCCCTTTATATTTTAGAAATTATTCTTAGATAGATAGATAAAGGTTGTATGTTTCACAACCCAAGACAGTTTACTACTGTCTTGCTTTGCATTTATAGCCAATACAATTATTACTCTATTACAAGCATCAGTACTTTGTAATTTTAAAATTAGATAATTTAATATTGTCTTCCTATTATTTTTGCATTCTTCCCCATTTATTAATCTGTATAATCAGGAGTGTATTCTGTGTTTGTGATCATGGCATTTGTATTGACTCCGGTCTCATAGAAGTTGACATATTTATTCATGTGATAAGCAATTTATATTATTCTCTCCATTAGATAATGGGAAGATGCTGCACCGTTTGCGAGGACATGATTCAGAAGTTGTGTCCTTAGCTTGGTGTCCTGTCAGCTACAACATCTTGCAGCCAAATGAGCTGCAGGATGACATATTGCTAGCTTCTGGAGCTAAAGAGAAATCTGTATATATCTGGAGAGCAGGAGGGGATGGTCATTATGAAATAGTTCTAAACCTTCCTATTGTACCACTGTCACAGGAAACAGTCAGTGCTCAACAACATAGGTAATTGATAAAGAGGTACTAAACATCACAATAAATTAGGAAAATAATATTTGCTGGTGCAAGTGGTTTTGATTGCATGCTAGGATACCTCTGTCAGTACAACGACTGGCTGTAGGCTGATTGCCACAGTTTGATTCCTGGCAGTAGTGATGAGGTCTGCCCATTCTTCTATTCATTGGTTGATAGGGACATTTCAACATATATCATACATAACCTATACATTCCATTTATTTTATCATTTTGTAATATGTATAGAAACAATGTGTTCTCTCAGCAGTCAATTTTCAATAAACAAGTTATTCAATAGAGAGTAAAGAAAACAATATTAAAAATATATGTTATCCATTTTAGTGATATTAATAGTGAAAATAGTGGAATTTATGTAAATTGGTTTGAAATTCACTACATTTTCTTTTGAGACTAAGAAGGAAAATCGTACGTTAAAAAGATATGCTTATGTTTTTATGTTATCTGCACTCTATTATGACAGTAATGTGGATGATATTCATGGCAACACTTGCATAGCAGATATATGATATGGTATATTTTTTATCTATGTGCAAAATTAAAAGGTATAAAGAATGCACATGGAAACTGTTTATATTTCAGTGCAGATTTTCCTCTTCAGTCTTGTTACTTTTTCCCATAGTCAATTAAAATATTCTGTTTGTACTTTGTCAACAGTCAGACTTTGTTTTTGCCATTTGTGTCAAGTTCTGTGATACAATCCATGAAGCATGGCGTCGAATAATATTATATAAACAGAACACATTAAATATTCAATAAGACATTTTGCCAATAATGTCTAATTTTGTATTTCCATTTCTGCCTTGAACAGATCAAATTTATTAGAGGTAATTTTATAATTTTGCGGTTGTTTTCACTTTCTGTTCTCATAACCAGAGATATTTAAAATAAGTCTAAGTTCTGTTTATTCCTAATTCTGTTTCAGACAGGGTTTACTGTGCTAGGAATTGACAAAATTGTGACCATATGATTTATGACATTGTGATAACAGGTCTCGCTTAGGAGCCTCAGTTGCTGGTGGAGGGGGATATGGCGTAAACTGGACATGTGTTTCATGGCCTGAGCCAAACACGATATTAAGCAGTTCTTTATGGGGAGAACTGGTGGCTTTCAATATTCAACAGGTTACAAGTGTCAGGTGAGCTACTGGCAAACTTTGTGGTGCACAGTCATTCTTGAAAATTTGGTGGAGTGAACTCCCAATTATCCATGTGCAGATTATCCACACAACTTTTTTTCATATGAACATGGACATGCATGAACTAAGCTTTCACCCTCTTTCCACTCCAGACATTAAGCTTTGGAAAGGGGGTGATTGGTTTTGGGATGGTCTACAGAAGATATAGTTGAGCAATATCTCCTCAATTTTGTGCTTTACAGTCAATATCAGTGGTACAGTTGAGATGTTTGTTCTGATGGTCATGGTAAAGGTGCTTGGTACTAGAGAGGCTAAGCAACAAGAACCCTTTTATTTGAAAGACAGGAGTGTGCACCCAGGCATAAAGTAGCATGGATGTATAGGGAGATTTTGAAAATTCATTCCAGAAGAATTTTGGAGAATGCATGCACACACACACACACACACACCTGGCTCTATTTGACTCCCTTGTCCTGAACTGATCCTGACCCTACTCACCACTTGTCCAGCCAAAGCCTTGCCTTGACTGACTGATTCCTGTATCTAAAATTGATTCCACACACACGGCTTACTCATCACCCTGATGATGGAGTCAATAAGGACCTTTCAGGCATTAGTAAATTTCTACCAGATTACACAGCCCTTTCAGGCATTGGTAAATTTCTACCAGATTACACAGCCCTACCCATTCATAATTGTTGGATTTTGTTAGTAATAATAATCAAAGCGTTTTCTTGGTTTTAAATTTTTCAGGTCGAATAAACAACTAACGGCAAAATTGTGGCGGTTGGTACATGCCTGCCATTCCCGAGGCTTATTCAGCATTGCGTATGTCACAACTCAGGGATATGTAAACAACAGAATGAATTCTGAAAAAAATGGAGCTTGTAATGGCAATGGACTTGCAGGTAATGGTAACATAAGTTACTGGAAGATATATTTCTAATTTATGCAGTATAACCATTATAGAACAAGTAGTGCCTATAATGAGTACTTTATTATAGCTAGCAAGATAATTGGTGAAATCAGTTTCATATTTTTACATTGCCTGTTGTGTCACTTGGCTAGTGAATGGAAGTTCATCTTTTAGATTTTGCTTTGTGCTTTTAGCATGTCCATTCCTAATTATGGCAATGAAATGTAAGCTTGAAACTTGAAGTATATGTCTCCCTGAAGCTGCTGATTTGTCAAAGACTAAAATGGGAAGACAGTATGTATTAGCTCAACATTGTTCACTGTTTTGAAGAACATTGCCACAAGATGTGATTAGCTGCTCTGTATGAAGGCAGTCCAGTTATTCCAGTTGTGGTATTTAGATCCAGCATGTGATGTGGGTTTGTAAGCTATGCACAGTGAATTATGGGCAGAATTTGGGTGGGACTTGAGACTACTCAGCAGGTACTGGACAGGACTTTGCTTATACAGAATGGATGTGAATACATGGTCAGCTGAAAATACAAGAGATTTTGTAAATTTGAGAAAATCTTTAACATCTCCATTTACACAATGATAAAGATGCTGACAGTGTTGAATTATTTTTTCATTATTTTATATCTCCATGATAACCACTTCAACAAAGAACAAATATTGCCCAAACTGCATTAATTTGTTTTAAACCTTAGCGCTGTATTGTAATTTAGATTACTACAAGTTAGGAGATGAACTGAAAGATAATGTATTTCAGCCATTTTTGGATATTTTGAATACCTGTTAGAACAAACTTTTTTCAGAGTTTTATATTCTCATTGTATTAAGGTTTCACTGCACTTCATATTTTTATCCCTTGAAAAATTTGGTTGATAAAGTGTTCTTGGATGTCATGATAAATTCTGTTAAGTTGTGACATTTTTAACCAAAGTATCAGGTTTTCATGACATGGATACAAATTGCATAATAAGAATACATTTAACATAAATTATTGAAACAATTTAGAAATGCCATGGCAGCACACGTTGAAAATGTCTGTAGTCTGTACTCTCAGCATTTTGCACCTTCCTATGTGACACATCAGTACTGGCATCATTTCTTCCAGAAAACACATTACATATGTGTATTATGTTTTGTATTCTCATAGTACTTAACAGATTTTCATTTTTTGTAAATTTATAATTATTTTGTGGTTCTCTTTCAAATACAAAAATTACTGTAATTATTCATAGTTAAAATGCGATATTGTTTTTAAAGACCAAAAGTCTAAAGGTGATTGATAATCCATTGTTTTATTCAGTTCTAATTCTTTTACAGAACATGACAATACTGAATGTAAAGCATCATCGTGTGTTGTATGGACAGCTGGCCAAGACCGACAATTGGTTGCTTGCAATTTGGAAACAGGAGAGGTGTTGGTTAATGTCCCAACACTTGGAGGTTTTGTATACTGTGTTGCTGCATCTCCATTGGACCCCAACAGGTAATATACAGAATGAATGCTCAGTGCCTCTGAATTTGTCTGCAGCCCTGCACAACAACCATTATACTCTCTTCCCTAAAAACATTTGTGTTTCTTTCATATTATATCAGGTGTTCTTTCTTTCTAGATTTATTTTTTTATTCTGTACCTTAATTTCTGAATATGATGATAATTGAAGATGGCTGTCTTCTGGGTTGTAGTGCCATATAGTTTGGTAGAAGTTTATCAACATTTCAGAGATCCTTACAGCCTCCATCAAAGAATCTGTGAAATGTCAGTAAACTCTTAGAACTCACCACCATGAAAACCTCAAATCCTTCGATGATGATACTCCATTATTATGCTTGTACAAAGGCTGTGTACATTCAAACCAGCAACTGGGTGTTATTTGTTTAATGCACAACAGTAGCATTGTATTTCCGTACCAATACCTTGAAAGAAGACCGGCACAAGCGAGATTGTGTGACACTGTGCAACCAAAAATTCAAATTCAATGGAAATTCACCCTGTAATATTGACCTTTATCAGCCTGATGTATTTTGGTAGGGAACACAATCTTTTCATTTAAAGGCTCCTAGTGCCATGTTGTGGCATGTTGAATTGTACTTACATTAATTAAATGCTGTCTTTTAATTGGGCCATGACCAGCATTTAATCGTGTATAACTACATATCTTTTTTGTTGGCTTTTGCGTACCTGAAAAGGTGAAAGAAGTGATGTTGAGCAAAATTTCAGTACCACTGCCAGTTGCAGAAGATGCTGAAAATGAAGTGATATGCACAATTATTCTTTTGTATTTTATCCCTTGTGTAAATATTTTTAGAACCACAGCATTTTGAAAGTTGGTTCTGCTTCCATTTTCAAGGGACCTGTGGGAGGACAAAAGCCTACACTCTTGGGACCGCTGTTTGAGAAAGTCTCAACTTAGACATTGTCACTGGAAGATGGAAGTAGAACCAACCTCTCAAATGCTGTGGTTTAAAGAACATGCAGTGGATAAATTCTAACAGAATAATTAGACATATTTTGTCTTACTGTCACCTGAAACCTTTTAACTCAGCATAGCTATAGGTTCACTTATATAATACCAAATGAGAAATGACAGTGACATGAATTGCAAGCATGTAAAAACATGGGAAGAACCTATTTTGAGATACTGTATCAATGTTTGTCCGAAGGAACTGAGGAAAATCACACAGTCAGTTAATGATGCTGATCTCTCAGTCAGAATTTGAACCACAGACCTTCTAGACACAAAGCACGAGTGCTAACTCTGACATTGCAGCATTTACTAGTTCTTGGTTGTGGTGTATTGAACAATAATTATAGAACTTATTTTTCTCTGATCTATAGAATAGCATTTGGTGGTGGTGATGGTACAATTCGAGTTTGGAATTTAAGTAACTCTACATCATTAGAAGTCACCTCACTGTGGCAGAAAATTAAAGGCAAGGTTATGGCTGTAAGTATGTTCATATTTTTGTTAAATGTGTAGGTTTCTGAAAACAAAACTTGAAAATATATTTACCAAGTGTTAAGATCCTTGACATAAAGTGTGTGGGAAGTGGAAATATACCTCCATGCATTTATAACCTAGATGGAGGTTAGTTGTCAGCTTCACACCCTGGGTACTTTATCCCATGGTAGATAGCCTGGTACCCATTGGATAAGGTGGGTGGGCTCCAGGGTTGGTCTGGTTCTAGTACAGAGAGGAATATCTGTAGCTCTACCAGTAATCAAACCCTGGGCATCCAGCCCATGGTCTAGTAATTTTAGTGACTGAAATAAAGTCTCTCATGTAATTTTCTTCAAATATCTTTTATCTCTGTTATTCCAACTACTTTTAATTTTAATTCTTACTTCTCTCAGCTTGCTTGGCATCCAACAAAGGAGAAGTGGCTTGCTTATGGGACATCTGAAGGAAGAGTTGGTCTGTATGATGTGTCATGTGGAAAACCACCGATATTACTTCGTCCATTCCATCATCACAGTGTGTACACATTGTGCTGGGGACCTCCAGTGTACAAGACAGGTCACTTCTTACTTCAGATTCACTTTTATGATAATCACAGTTATTTGCATGTACATGTCTGTAATTTCTTAATAATTCTTTGTTATGTTAGAAGAGTGTGACTTGGTTTCAGTTTAATTTAGAGATTTATGCTCTTACTCATGTTATCTAGATAGGGAATACTGAAATTACTAAGAACGGTATTTGTAAGCAGCCACTCAATAAAACAAAGTATATCACTTGCTAACAGTAATGAACGAAATAGTACGTATCAGGATGCATGACCATTGGCTTTGTTTGGATGTAATGCATTACCTGTCCTCAGTCTGTTAATGTTTATAGGTCCAAGGTACCCAGATAGGGTATATGTAGGCCTTTTGTGCCATGTGGCAGCGTTCTAAATTGGGGTTTTGTTAATAGAATGCCTCAATTCAGTTAGGCCTTGAATATATACAAAAAATATTTAAGGCTTGTAGGTTAAGGGTTAATTATGCTTGTTGAACATATATGTTCTATTTAATTTCTTACTGCAGGCGCTGCAGTTGCAAATGGTACTTTCTTGTATTCCTGTGGCGATGGAGAAGTTGTACAGTATGATTCTGATAACCCTGATGAAGGTGAGTTGTTTATGGAGACTGAATAGGACAATGGACACAGTAATCTTGTTTGATAAAACTTGAAGCCTGATAGTCTAGATGTATACTTTAGTTACACAATGACACTATGAATGATGGTTGTTGTGCAGAGCTCATGATGAATCTGACAAAAAATACCAGAATGTTGAGGGATTAGTCAGATTCCCATGTATTTCTGAAAATGCTCATTTTATAAAATTACAGTTGTTTGTCCTGCTTTATGTGGATATGAAACTTGGTTTTATGAGGGAAGAGTATAGATTGAAGGTGTTCGGTAACAAATTACTGAGCAGAATATTTGGACCTGCAGGAGATGTTATAACTAAGGGCTGAAAAAATTTACATAGTGTGGAACTCCATAGCTTGTAATGTTTACTTAATACTGGTAGACTTGGAAGTTGAAGGAGTAAGTGGGAGGTAATATATCTCTGGGAAATGGAATATAAATTTAATTTGCTTGGGACAGTGTATAATGATGGGCTTCTGTAAACATGAACATTTGGGTATCATAAAAGTAGGGAAGTTATTGCTAGCTGAATAACTGTCAGCTGTTCAAGATGACTGTGTGTTGTACTTATTAATTTTAAACTGATGAAAAACTTGTATCTTCTAGAGCCACTTAACCTAAAGGATATGATGCAGATTCCTAATTTCAACCGTAAAAGGTCTGACATTGCATGGAAACCAGACTGCACACTGCTTGCTGTGGGGAATGAAGATGGGTCAGTAGTAGTTCTCATAGCAAAGTCTGTTTATTTTTATTTATCTTTTTAAAGTGCTCTGAAAAAAAAATTAAATTCAGTTTTTTAAGTATTCAGACATGTTAAAACATTGTGTTCGAGTGTATAGGAAGGGTACTAATCCAGTTGTGGAAAGAAGTAACTGAAATGGTGAGATGTGATGGTCACTTGGCTTTTCAGAACATAGCAGAAGAACTGTGCTTGAAAAGAGAAACTGTAGTTTGATTTTAACCAAAAATCTGAACACAGGAAAAGTCTGCAAAAATAGTATAAAAGTTTTTGGCAGCAAGAACACAAGAGAATAAACATTTTGCTCAGATATTTCAACAATATTATTGGAAGAATTTTTCCTTTAGAATGGTTTAGTCCTTTGGTATAGTTGGCTTTGAATCATGAGAATACAGTACCAGATAAAGAGCTTTGTTTTCATTAAATTTACCCTGGTGGATGTGAGTAAGTCAGTGTATAATGAATTTGAGGTTTTCAGGGCGGTGAGTCTGTGCTGAGTTTGTACATGATGGATAACTTGAGTATGCGTTATTGGTGCAGTGGTTTATCAACAAAAACTTGAGTGATACATTGCTAGAACAAAGACTCAGCATTAAGTTTCTAATGGAATTGAGTGAATGCCAACAACATTTGCAAAATGTTACAGAAAGTGTATAGGAAGGGTACTAATCCAGTCTAATGTGTTTGTTGTGACAGAACTGTACACATCATGTCTGCACCACATCTCACGCTCATCCACACTCTGCTTGGACACAAGAACTTGATCCAGTGTCTGGTGTGGCACCCTGAAAGCACTGCCACTGACACTATGTACTCTCCGTATCGACACTGGCTTGCAGTTTCATCAAATGAAACTCGTATTAAAGTGTTTGACCTGTCACAGTTGACTAAAGGTAAGATTAGTTTTACATTTTAGTACTTCAAGTGCAGGACGTAAATAGCACATTCAAAGCATGACTTCAGTTAACATATTTTTATGTGTCTGTAGCTGTATTTTCTATGCAAATAGGTAAGGTGGGAAAATAAGGTATGTGTTGTTGGTCAGATATTATTAATAATGTCGCCATGTATTAATTTTCACTTTCTTACATACAGTATAATGAAAGTATTATAATTGCAAAAGGATAAATAAATAAATAATGCAGACATTTTAATCGAAGTACAAGTTTTGGGATCCCTAGTATACTCACAACTGGATATGAGAAATCCAACTCATCCTATCTTGTGATAAGTGCCTTACTCCTCACAGGGGCTTCGTCTGAAAAGAGTTGACTTGTGGTACAGTGGCGTATTGGTAATATCCATGTTGAAGATTCAGTGAATTTTGTACTTCCTTTGATACCAGAATGTGAATGTATTACTTTTATATTGCTTTGGGGTCATGTTTCAGACAATGTAGAAGCAGAGACAGATCAGCTGAAACCTGCTTTGAGTTGTATTACATTAACCGGACACTTGGGTCGAGTTGTAAGCATGTGCTGGAGCCCCCACATAGGAGGTCAATTGGTGTCAGTCTCATATGATCATACAGCACAGGTACACTTCATAACTGTGTATGCTATTACATTGATTGATTATTCATTTAATTAGTGACACTGTACTTCAGAGGTAATGTGTTATTGAATGGCAGAAAGATTTTTGTGAATGGTGATTAGGTAAGGCTTTGGTGGTTGGCATCCATTTGATAGTTTTATACCAGTATGTGACATGAGAGACTAAAGAAAAATATGCGTAACTTCTTTGTTTTGATAGCCAGCCTTTGGGCCTCCTAAACACAAAATGAAAGTGCTAACCAACCATATGCAACATGTGGTCTTTTATGTAGGTGAAATATTTATTGTGTTATGTAGGCAATGTTTATATCCAAATCCATTGTTAAAATTGTTAATTGAGTTAGGTTCAATAGAAACATGTTGAAGGATCTGTCATACCAGATCACACAATAAATTCCTTTATTCAGTATTTTATCAATTTGTAGATGGCCTTCTGCATTTATTACTTTTGAAGATCTGTTAAATGGTTACCCATACCGTCTCTTCCTAGATAGTTCTTTAGAATTACTTTATAGTGTCTTAGGTAACCCATTAATCTGAACAATTTAGAGACTGGAATAAAGATGAATATTGAGGGAATTTTTTTTATTTCCTGCCTTTTTAGAATGTTGGCTCTTCTCTTTGATTTAATATTTCTGTATACGTAGATTATAGGTACTCCCACAATGCCCTGCTCCTAGGATTGATGATTGAATGCTTGGAATTTAGGCCCATCTTTCAAAGTAAGAGCATTCATTTCATATCCATAGCAGCTTTAAAATTAGCATTTTATGTACCAATGCACATACGATGGGCTAATGTATTTTGATTATGAAAGCGTTTTATAGGATTTATGATTTTATACTTTGCCTGTGTTTCCGTAGGTTTGGAATGTGCCGTGTCAACAACCAGTTGCCAACTTCTGCTTACATTCTAGTCTTGTATACTGCTGTGTATGGTGCCCCCTTGACCCAGATATGATAATCACAGGATCATCAGATTTCACACTCAGAGTATGGAGGATCTCTAACCAGACTCAGGCTCTGCCGTCAGAAAGAAGTAAGTGGTGCATTACACTTTTTATTTTTTTATTTTTTTTTTATGAAGTATCAAGCACATTTATCTATCCCCTTGTAACTCAAGATGGCAGCTACACCAACTCTATTTAGCCTTCAGTTAAAGTATAGTAAAGTTGTCTTACTGCATACCTTGAAGGCACTTGGTAAGACAGGGGGCATAGCTCCTACTCAGTCTTGACCTAGGTCAGGGTGAGTGGTTGGCATTACACCCTTTCTTTACACTTGAGGAAAGGACCTTCAGTTCCCTTGGTTTGAGGGCTGGGTGGGCCTCAACCAACCTGGATGCAGGGGCTAGAAAAAAGTTCTTTGCTCTTGCTGGGGATTGAACCGTGGTTGTCCAGGCTGTGGTCAGACACAATACAGTGACTGTTGGTGGATACATGTTAAATTTTGTACAGCGATAAATCATAAATTTACAAATTCTGTATGAATCATTGTTGTATGTATTAGGCAATTATAAATATGGCAATGCTGCAAAATATTCATGTTATATTAGACAATTTTGACATAGCTGGGATGTGCACTGATGAAAATTATGTCCAGAAATGGATTGCAGGTAGGATGTGCACTGAAGAAAATTATGTCCAGAAATGGATTGCAGAATTATGTGTGGATAAATATAATTTTTTAGTTCTTCCTAGCCTTGCCATGCAGACTGAAGCGTTTGAAGAGGAGTGGGCATTAAATTCTTTTCAGGATCTTCCATTCATGATTAAAATCACAGGCAATTGAGTGGTGTAGTAGATGAACATTTAACTGATGTTTGTGATCATTTTGATAATTTCAGTTTTGCTTGTTGGTTTGTGTGTTAATTAGTTATACTATCAAATGCAGAGATTATTTGATATCACACTAATAGAACTTAATCTTCCTTTACTTAAAGTTAGAAATATGCAGATGAAGAAAGTATTATTTATTTCTTTTTCAGAGAAGCACAAGAAGTCAGAAGTCAAGATGCCAAAAATGGTGCTAGCAGCAGACACAAACAGTCTGCCACAGCCTGCAGGAGGTAAAATAATAGTGTTTATTGATATTAATTGAACTCTTTTACTGTGAATTTGACATCTTTCATATTGCATATTTTCCTTACGAAATGTATGATTACTGAACTTTTCAAGAATTCCTCTAGTTTATAGAAACCAGAGGTTTGTCACGATGTTTATAAAAGACTCATAGGACTGTGCTCTAAGCTACTTGAATCCAAACCACATCATCACATATTTCTCTGGATCAATTTTAGTATAATCTTTCCATATACACCTACTTGAACTTTACCATATTTTTAATTATTTGTAGCTGTTCCTTTTTTAACATTTTGCCCTATATTTTGGTAATGTGGTATGAACTTATACTTGGTTTTACTGTGTTTATTTCTAAACCAACAGTGTGATTGGCTTTTGGTGGAGTTTATGTATGCATACACTCTCTTTCTCTCTCTTACACACAATCTCTCTCCCTCTCTGTCTCACACACAAATATGTTTCTTTTATGTAATAACAAATTGATAATTCTTGATACAGATTTTGTTAATGATGTCAGACATATGACCTGTGTACTGAGCACTGCCACAGAATCATTCATACTAACTTTATGAGATTGTTCTTCAAAAGATATTATTTCTAATTTTGTTAATTTGTTTTTTAAAGGTGATGAGAAAGTTAATGTATCTGCAGTGCCAACTGCAGATCCCGATAATGCGGTAGAATTTGCCAGAAGTGAGAAAGGTAATTAGTAAAGTATGAGAATGACACAAGGTATTTGCTTATAACTAGTTTGTTGAAAATAACAGAAAAGGATAAACTGATAATGTAACTAACAAACAGCTGTTGCAGAACATGATGGATTAATAGTGCTGATATCAAAGCCCAACATTTGACACAAACTTGATCCAGTTCCACCCACCTTCATTCTGTACAACCTTTTCCTTAAGATTGATCTTAATGTTATAATCACATCTGTCTTTACTTTCTAAGAGGATGAGTAATTTCTGACTATGCAGTGTGCTTAGCTTTGCAACACTGGATTTGTATCTGCATTAAGTAAACAAGTAGGATATGCAGAATATTGTAAAGAATGATTTTAGAATGTTATATATTATTTTTTCTTATTTATAGAATTACGTCAAGCATCAGGAATTCAGATTTCTAAGAAAAAGAAATTTGTATCTCGCAAGTCATTTTTCCCTGTGTCATCTCAGCAGCAGAACCAAGGGAAGGTTCAGCACTTGAGCAACTGCTATCGCTTGTTGGCAGCACTGAACACCTGTGACAGTGTTCAGAATGGAGATTTTCCACTTTATCATGGGTTCTTTGGTAATCGTGATGATATGCAGAGACTTCTGGATGCAGAGGGTTTGTATATATCATCGTTTGGACATTCATTTAGTTTGGATATTTTGATTTTAGTCTTGAATCTTGCAGTTCATTTTATTTTATGCTCTCATTCCTCTAGGACCTGGGACAGATCATTCCACAAAGTGACTCATTACAGGCTTGACAACTATTATTTCGTTCCTCTCAGGACTTTCCCTTTCAAAACCACGACAAAGTTGTGGTCTGCCTCCTAGGGAAGTTATGATAGCTCAGTCAATAAAGTGATTAGCAGTGAGCCATAGGGGGCAGTTTTTTTCTTTTTGCCACCATGTCCATGTTGGCTCTGGCCTCCTATTGAGTGGGTACCAGGGGTTTTCTCCTTGGAGGTGAAGCTGACCACTCACTTCAAGCAAGTTAAAGGCTTTTGTGCAAGATTCACTACTATGTCCCCTGTACATTTTTATGGTATGATGCTGAGGTATAGTGCAACTTTATCTTATTACCTTCATTTTGCTTCTGGCAGATGGAGTTAAATAAAATCAGTTCACATTTTCTCAACCTTTTTTTTTAGTATTTTCCTTCCTTTTGTACCTAGGTGTAGCAAGTGGTCTCCTCATATAAAGGTTTGTAACCAAAATTTTAGGCAAATTTCTTGTGTTCATTTTTAATTTAATTACTCAGACTATGACATGTGAAAGTGCAAATTGTGAAGATCATGTAACTTTCTTTCACAGTTGCTATATAAAATTAAAAATTATCAATACGAATAATGAACCACACAAACAAACTGTAAGAAATACAATCCATGGGTTACATATGGACTGTAGGCCACAGGTTATACATGCTTGCTGTGTATCCTCTTCAGTTAATCATTTACTAATCCAGGGATCAGACAAATTTGGTTTTGTAAGTATGCTTTGAAAGAATTGTAAATTTCTTTACCTTTGCATCTTGTATGTTTTTGTAGTGGAACATCATAATAATGGTGGCAACTTTGAATTGGCACATCATATAGAACTATGGAGGGGCAATGTGACAGAAATGTTGAAGGAGATGGCACGTCGAAAACAACTGTCAGATTTATTAGTGTCTTTTGCCCCTTTGGCTTCCCAGAGGTGAGTTACAGTTTTGCATCTTTATTATCCAAAAATCTCTTTGAATGAGTATGCAGAAACCTTTTTTGTAATGCTCAGTGTTTACATTTCATTTTACTATGAAATTAATTTATAAGTAAATGCACAAATCTTGTTCAGTTTTAAAAATGATTTCCTCTTCTTTCTGTACATGTCTGCCATCTGTGTATTCACATGTTGGAATTTTTTTAACTGTTTTAGTGGTATGTTTGCTACACTGGTAAATTGCAATACCCATGCAATTCTTGATTAAATGATATTGGGTCCATCAGTATGAATTTTCATCTTTGGGAACAGCCAGAAGTGAGAAGATTAATGAGGTTACAGTAGTACTTCAGTTTCCATTTCAGTAGAGGAAGAATGGGAAGTCTTTCAGGAGTAAGATTCACATGGAAAATTCAGTCATAAGCATACAGTCACTTATATTACCTTCTCACAGTACTGATGGATCTGGATGAGTTGGGACTTACACAGGAAATAGTGAAAACATGGGGATATTATGTGGCAGAATTGCCATATATGACAGTAACATTTTTGGCAGTGAGTGGAAGTTACTTTAGAATGCACCATGTAATACCCTTGTTTATTCTGTATATAATTTTTTCTTAATATGCAGAATATGTTTGATGTATACACAACTTTAGTGATAAATAATATTTTGATACCTGTTTTCATATATTATATGTAGAAAAAGCCTTCTCTGTGCTTATCTACTGTTATGTGTGTGTCCATTCTTTCTTCACTCTGTTTTGTATATCTTCAACTTGTTGTTGCTCTCCGCAATGATCGTGTTGTGTTCTCGAAGGCATCCCATTTTCTTTCACACTTTATCCTCCATTTCATTAACTTTTTTTTTGTAGTGTTGTTACTTTTCAGATCTTTTATAATGTCCTGTGATATGGATTTATCCCTTCTTGTTTATCTTGTAACAATAAAATGTTATCTCTACTGCTTCTAATATGCTTTACCTCTCTTAGTTTATATCTGTGTTTCTGCTTTATGTATCAAATTATACAAAATTTCCTAATCTAAATGATCTTGGTAACAGTTTACTAAAAATTTCTTTTCAGTACTTATTCTCTTAGCAATTTCCTCTCTTTTGTCATACTCCTATTAATGGTCTAGATTGTGGATGGACATGTGCAAAGCATATTCAGACCAACTCGTACTACTTGGTCAGTATCAGAAGGCTGCTTCCTACTTACTGGTATGTCACAAAGTGAATGAAGCCATCGAGCTACTCGTGAACCACAAGCTGTTTCGTGAAGCATTGGCTATAGCTCACAGCAGACTTGGACCTGATGATCCTACACCCAAAAGAATAGTCCGGGACTGGGGTAGGCATTTCGCATCAGAAGGCAATTATGAATTGGCTGTTGAATGGTGAGTATTGCACATGTATGTGCACATGCACATGTGTGCATGCACACACACACACAGGTCCTTGTTGCCTTTTTTCAACAGACTTAAACAGGACCTCTAAAAATTTGGAATCTATAATGGGGGGGGGGGGGGTAAAATCTGTTATCATCAGTAAGTGACAATAACGTATACATTGAAGATGGCTATCACTGGATTGTAGAGCCATTTAGTCTGGTAGAAGTTTGCCATTGTTTCAGAGGTCCTTGTTGCCTTCATCATCAAGGCAATGATGATAGATTACATGGTGTTACAACACAGAAGACAACCATCTTTGTTCTCACTTCTGTGAGAACCTCAAATCCTACAAAGTACACATTCTTTCCCAGAAATGTCACATTGTCATAAAAGACAGTTCCCTTTGCAATCTAGTTCTTTAAATCAGGGTGTAAGAAGTGATAAATTCAAATTTGTGATCAATACTTGATCACATGTTCAAATTATTGTTCGGTATATGTTTGGACCAAGATGTCTACAGTAGCCCATCATAAAGAGAGCATGTGTCACACATGAAAGTTATCCATGTTTGGTTTCATATCGATAGTTATGCCATTAACAACATTCCTAATTCTTCTGCTGACTGATTTTAAATGTACCCATCACATCATAAAACAGGAAGGCTTCCACTTTAGCCACTGGCTGAAACTGATTACATGATTGAGCAGAACTAAAAGCTGCAGATTTGTAAATTGTTCATATTTTAATATAGGAATTATTTATAATATTAGTCCAGAAAATACTGGGTGCCACAATGAAAATGTTGGGTGCTATTGCAACCTGGCACCCAGGATTTGTATGCCTTGTGTATGTATGTATTCTTGTCATTGAATACTGCATCATTGTATTTTACCCTTAAAACATAATATTAATTTCATTTTAATTATTTTTATTTCAGCCTTATATCAGTGGGAGAGTTAATGGAGGCTGCAATGCTAATCAGAAAGAGAACTGACGAGAGCTCGTTAAAACTGGCAGCAATGATTGCAGATAAAGCTGGTGCACAAGAGTTAGCTTCCATGCTTGCCATTCAGAGTATAAAACAGAGTTTGTTGGTGGAGAACTGGGATGTTGCGAGAGAAGTTGCCCTTGAGCATGCACATCTTAAGGTAAGAAAGCACGAGAAAATGACTGAGTTTGAATGTGTAGCAAGCCTCTTTGCATTCTGTGACAGTTATGCTTTATAAATTGAACTTGGTGGACTGAAATATGTTAACAGCCAAAGGAAAATAAATCAACCAAGATTCTGTTGATTTTTAACTTAGTACCGTGTGTGAACATGGCTTTATGAATGAGAATGTAAATCAACTTCTTAACTTATGCCCCTTATTTCATAAGAAAAAGATCAGTTTTTGGTATCATCATGCCATTGGAGGCTACATCACTATAGGTCTTGGCTGTGTTGTGAACTCCTGAGGTGGGAACAAATTAATGCTGGGTGTTGAAATTTTGTGTGGTAACAGATCATTTAAAAAATTCAAGTTCTGTTAGGTTCCTTTTTATAAATAAAATGTTTTTACTTAGCATTCTGTTTCATGGCAATGTTTGATTAAACACTACAACTTTGACATAATTGTAGTCTGTACTGGTATAATTACCATTATGTTGTGCGCTTATTAATTTACAGTTTTTTGTAGGCTTACTGTAAATGTAAATAGGAAAATAGGAGCCACACTTCTTCCCGTATAATTTTATAATCTTTATAGAACTGTAACTTCTAATTTAGGTTGTTACAAATATATGAAGAAGAGAAGAATCTTGCTAAGTTAATTGTTGTGTGGTGGCAGTATGTGTGTTTACATCATATTATGGTATTATTTTAGGTTATGATTCAGTAGTTATAGTTTTGATTAAGTTATTTGATAAATATAAATGATTAACTTTTAATCTCATTGTTTGCAGCACCTTAGCTTGCTGATTACTGTACATCAAACTATAGTAGAACTAGCCGTTAAGAATGACTGTTCATTATACCTGAGATGGTTGGATCAGTGCAAGCATATGCCCTCTGAACTTACACCACTTCTTGAACTGATTGTATTGCGGTGGCAGACTGATGTCAGTAAAGAAGAAGCAGAAGAGATTAATGTTATGTTGCATAAAGAATTCCGGACAAACGAAGCACCTGATACAAAGCAAAAGGTGAGAGCATGCTTGTGTAGTGGTAAAAATAGTGTAACTTATACATCTGGTGTGGAGAAAATATTACTACAATGAATTAATTTTAACCTCCTTTAAAGATAATTATGCTTATGATACCAGCATATCCATGTCTGTGTGTGCATGTACAGTGCAATATTCATTTAATGACAACTTTATATATGTCCCGCGCGGTCTGAGGCATCATGCTTCGGAACGGCGATACGGAATGCACGCTGGTTCGAGTCTCGGGGGAGAAGAAATTTTCTCTTGAGCTTTCGACCAGTGTATGGGACCGGTGCCAACCCAGCATCATGAGAAAATTGGGGAGCTGCAATGACTAGCGTAATCCGGTCATGAAAACTAGCGATGGCTGGGGGTTCATTGTGCTGACCACACATCACCCTATATCTGGTTGGATGATCGTTCACCTCTGCTTAGGCATGTGAACGTGAGGCCAGCGGCCAGTTAGTCGGCTTTGGCTCTCTGGAGCTGTTACGCCATGAATTTAATTTTAATTTTCATACTTTATGGACTGTTAATGTTCATAAAGTCTGCCATTAAATATTTTCCTGTGCCAGCTGAATCCATAACACACAAGCAGACACTCTTCCTCCAAAACCCATTCTGAGTATATAGTTCCATCTATGCCTGCCTACTTGTATGGTATAATGTACACACTTCCATACACGGTTGGAAAGCACCATTAGGTAAACCAAGTATCTGTCAAGTCAAGATCTGTTTTCCAATATTCGTTATGTGCTTTTTACAGCTGTGGTTAGTTGTGAGTGTTGAGCTTGCTCTCTCCTGTGTGAGTGATGGAGCCAAAAGATTAAGCCACCTGGTGGCAGCACTAAGTGCATGCTACCAGTACAGACAATTGCAACCTGCTGCCGAATATTTCTTGCTCCAGCTGTGCACGTGGCTCTCCCCTCAAGGTATAGCATGTTTCTCATTATGATATTTTTATTTTCTCCTTTTGTCATACCAGTTTTAATACTACAAAAATATATTAATACATTTTTTCTGGTTAATGCTATTTATATGTGTTCTCTGGTCGGTCAGGTCGAAACCTCTTCTGAAATTCTGCTTGTTTATTGGACTAGTAGTGATTGAACCCAAAATTTTAGCTGCTGAAATGGTGTGCAAGGATGCAAATAATTGCTTGAAGTTTGTATGTACATTTCAAGTTCATGCCATTGTTCACATCCATGACATCAGCATGCCTATCAGCGGTGGAGTATTCTCTTGTGCATTCTAATAGAGTGCTTGAGCCAGGCACTGGTAAGGGTATGAAAGACTTGAGAAAGGTCACACACACATGATGTACATAGAAACCATTTGTAAGCTTGTCTTGTTATGTTGATCTGTGACCTTGAGAATCTGTAACACCAGCGTGCTTCTGTTTATAGAATAAAACATGCTTGCAAATTAGACGGATGTGTAAATAAACTGTAAATTTAGTGCTTGTGGTTAAAATTGAATATGTTATTCAACATGCTATTGATAACTTATATTTCTGTGACAGTTATAGTACATAGTTTTGTTGCGTCATTCCGTATGCTTTGCTTCATTTCTGTTAAGTCTTTCATGTCCTTATCAGTGCGTGGTCCATGCACCCTGTTGGAATGCTGCAAGTGTATCAGCAGCCGAAATGTGTATACAGTCATTACTAGATGGGATCTGTAAACAAGCAATCAGATCATTTCCTTGACAGTGTGCAAATTGAACACGTGATTGGATGATGATGTTACAGTGTGTTGCTACCAAACCTTCTGTCATCACAAATATCTCTTAAAGTAAATTAATTAAACTTCAGACTTTCAAATATGTTTTCTGAGAGCAGTGTCTGTACATGATCGCTCCAATGCAGGTACTGAACTCTGAAAGGTTTATATTAATTT